TATTTGTTGTGTACGTTGGCTTGGAAGAATAGTGATTCTGTTAGGAAAGGTGATATTGGGGATAAAAAAAAAACTGGGCGTACGTTAATATTTGGATAATATTCAATGGTGGCACCCTCGAGGATTTTCCTCTGGGGGAATTATTTTCTTTTTTTATGAGTGTAACATTTACAAAATCAAAATAGTGCTTGAATTTATTTCTATATATGACTAGGGCATTTCTTAAGTTGTTATTTATGAAGTCTCTTTTGACTTGAAAAAGTTAACACTGGACGAAACACATCGGCTAAAACTACAGTTTTCCTATTGTCTTTTTTTTTCATACATATTGTCTTTTTTTCTTCAGGGTAATTCTGATAAATTTTTACACACACACACACACACACACATATATATATATATATATATATATATGCATGTGTATGTGTTTGGTGTACTTTTATGTATTCGTTGTATGTAAGTGAAATAGTGCGTTGTCATGCGAAGAAACATAAAAAATATTGGTGTAACCTGGAATCGAACATTGATGTACGGAAAAACATTCACTCAGCATTAAAGAAGAGTTTATCTTTCCATGTAACTTTTGTTTGCGTGTCTATCTATCTATCTATCTATCTATCTATGTGTCTTCATTATCTATCTATCTAAGTTTTTCATTATCTATCTATCTATCTATCTATCTAAGTTTATTCATTATCTATCTATCTATCTATCTATCTATCTATCTATCTATCTATCTGAGTTTACATTATCTATTTATCTATCTATGTAATAATAATAATAGCTGGGCACTTGTATTCGAGTATACCCGTCTTCTATTGCGGCTAGCCAAGCCCTATTACAGACTCTCGCTCAGGCGCATTTATGTTTGTTCAACACCCTCAGAGCCAGACTGTGGTTTATATTGCAACTATGCTGAGCAGATCTTAGAGTTTCTGAAGAACAGCGTGTTATCTAGCGTGAGCAAGAATCTGAAAAACGTCAGCACACACAAACGCTCGGTCACGATGACTTGTGACTTCGTGTTAGCAAAGCTATCGACGGCCCCTAAGTGTTCCGTCTACCCAATTTTACTGACATGGCTTGGGTTAAACTGTGGTACGGTTTTCGGGCAATTTCCAAAGGTGCCGTACGCTGAGGTCGTCCCCCTCTAGTCCGATGAGGTAAAAGAGTCTCTTTCCTGGCAAATCAACCGTGGTGAGATTCGAACTCTCTCTCTCTCCTCTCTCTCTCTCTCTCTCTCTCTATATATATATATATATATATATATATATATATATATATATATTCTATCTTTATGATTGACTCTCACGTCGCATTCGATATATGAGGGGCAAGAAGCTCAGTGCCTAAAACCGACAGCCCAGACACCAGCACATGTGATTTGATTACAGTGGTGAAGGAATTGTGCAGAACCAGCCACACTTACTGAAGGGCCGAATACAGACCGGGTGCATCAAAAGGTCAGAAAATGAAGCCCAGGAGGATTTGAATTGATAGTCTATACAAAGAAATATATATATATATATATATATATATATATATATATATATATATATATATATATATGTATGTAAAATCTTAAAATCATCATTCAGATTCAGGCGGAAAATACAGGATCTAAGGATCTCTGAATGGCTGGCTCATTTATAGTTATGGTGTAGAGAGATAATTCAGGTTCAGGCGAGAAACACAGGATCTAAGGATCTCTGAATGTTGGCATATTTATAGTTATGGCGAAGACAGATATTCAGGTTCAGGCGGGAAACAGGATCTAAGCATCTCTGAATGCTGGCTATTTTATAGTTATGGCGTAGAAACAAAGTCAGGTTCAGGCAGGAAACACAGGATCTAAGGATCTCTGAATGCTGGCTATTTTTAGTTACGGCGTAGAAAGACAGTCAGGTTAAGGAGGAAATACAAGATCTAAGGATCTCGGAAGGCTGGCACATTTACAGTTATAGTGTAGACAGTCACTCAGGTTCAGGCGGGAAACACAAGATCTAAGGATCTCTGAATGCTGGCTATTTTATAGTTATGGCGTAGAAACAAAGTCAGGTTCAGGCAGGAAACACAGGATCTAAGGACCTCTGAAGGCTGGCACATTTACAGTTATAGTGTAGACAGACACTCAGTTTCAGGTGTGAAACACAGGATCTAAGGATCTCTGAATGCTGGCTATTTTATAGTTACGGCGTAGAAAGACAGTCAGGTTAAGGCGGGAAATACAGGATCTAAGCATCTCTGAAGGTTGGCACATTTACAGTTATAGTGTAGATCGACACTCAGGTTCAGGCGGGAAACAGGATCTAATGATCTCTAAATGCTGGCTATTTTATAGTTACGGCGGAGAAAAAAAGTCAGGTTCAGGCAGGAAACACAGGATCGAAGGATCTCTGAATGCTGTCACATTTACAGTTATAGTGTAGACAGTCACTCAGGTTCAGGCGGGAAACACAGGATCTAAGGATCTCTGAAGGCTGGCACATTTAAAGTTATAGTGTAGACAGACACTCAGGTACAGGCGGGAAACACAGGATCTAAGGATCTCTGAATGCTGACTATTTTATAGCTACGGCGTAGAAAGACACTCAGGTTAAGGCGGGAAATACAGGATCTAAGGATCTCTGAAGGCTGGCACATTTAAAAATTATAGTGTAGACAGACACTCCGGGTTTGAGGCGGAAAACACAGGATGAAAATGCTGGCTATTTTATAGTTATGGCGTAGAAACAAAGTCAGGTTCAGGCAGGAAACACAGGACCTAGGATCTCTGAATGCTGACTATTTTATAGTTACGGCGTTCAGTTCAGGCAAAATACAGGATCTAAGGATCTCTGAAGGCTGGCACATTTAAAATTATAGTGTAGACAGACACTCGGGTTGAGGCGGAAAACACAGGATGTAAGGATCTCTAAATGCTGGCTATTTTATAGTTATGGCGTAGAAACAAAGTCAGGTTCAGGCAGGAAACACAGGATCTAAGGATCTCTGAATGCTGGCTATTTTATAGTTATGGCGTAGAAACAAAGTCAGGTTCAGGCAGGAAACACAGGACCTAAGGATCTCTGAATGTTATTTTATAGTTACAGCGTAGAAAGACACTCAGGTTCAGGCGGGAAATACAGGATCTAAGGATCTCTGAAGGCTGGCACATTTAAAGTTATAGTGTAGACAGACACTCAGGTACAGGCGGGAAACACAGGATCTAAGGATCTCTGAATGCTGGCTATTTTATCGTTACGGCGTAGAAACAAATTCAGGTTCAGGCGGGAAACACAGGATCTAAGGATCTCTGAATTCAAGCATATTCATAGTTATGGCGTAGACAGATATTCAGTTTCAGGCGGGAAACACAGGATCTCAGGATCTCTGAATTTCTGTCTTATTCATAGATATAGTTTAGAGAGACACTCAGGTTCAGGCAGGAAACACAGGATCGAAGGATCTCTGAAGGCTTGCACATTTACAGTTATAGTGTAGACAGATAGTCAGGTTAAGGAGGGAAACACAGGTTCTAAGGATCTCTGAATGCTGGCTATTTTATAGTTACGGCGTAGAAAGACAGTCAGTTTAAGGCGGGAAATACCGGTCTAAGAATCTCTGAAGGCTGGCACATCTACAGTTATAGTGTAGACAATCACTCAGGTTCAGGCGGGAAACACAGGACCTAAGGATCTCTGAAGGCTGGCACATTTACAGTTATAGTGTAGATCGACACTCAGGTTCAGGCGGGAAACAGGATCTAATGATCTCTAAATGCTGGCTATTTTATAGTTACGGCGAAGAAAAAAAGTCAGGTTCAGGTAGGAAACACAGGATCTAAGGATCTCTGAATGCTGTCACATTTACAGTTATAGTGTAGACAGTCACTCAGGTTCAGGCGGGAAACATAGGATGTAAGGATCTCTGAATGCTGGCACATTTACAGTTATAGTGTAGACAGTCATTCAGGTTCAGGCGGGAAACACAGGATCTAAGGATCTCTGAATGCTGGCTATTTTATAGTTGTGGCGTAGAAACAAAATCAGGTTCAGGCAGGAAACACAGGATCTAAGGATCTCTGAATGCTGTCTATTTTATAGTTACGGCGTAGAAAGACACTCAGGTTAAGGCGGGAAATACAGGATCTAAGGATCTCGGAAGGCTGGCACATTTAAAGTTATAGTGTAGACAGACACTCAGGTTGAGGCGGGAAACACAGGATGTGAGGATCTCTGAATGCTGGCTATTTTATAGTTATGGCGTAGAAACAAAGTCAGGTTCAGGCAGGAAACACAGGATCTAAGGATCTCTGAATGCTGGCTATTTTATAGTTACGGCGTAGAAAGACACTCAGGTTCAGGCGGGAAATACAGGATCTAAGGATCTCTGAAGGCTGGCTCATTTATTGTTATGTTGTATAGAGACATTCAGTTTCAGGCGTGAAACACAGGATCTAAGGAACACTGAATACTGTCTCATTTATAGTTATGGTGTAGACAGACCCTCAAGTTCGGGCAGGAAACACAGGATCTAAGGATCTCTGGTGCTGGCTCATTCATCGATATGGTGTAGACAGACATTTTCAGAACCTTTTCGAAAGGAAAATTATTGCATATTTTCAAATTATTTTACAATTTGCTGTTTTTAGAAATATATATATATATATATAGAAATATATATATATATTTATATATTATAAATCTAAACTGCGTGGGTGTATAAAATGGAAACGAGAAAGCGTGTGTATATGTGAGAGAGGGAGAGATAGAAAGGAAAGAGAAAGAAAAAGAAAGATAAGAGCAATGCTAGAGAAAGAGAGAATGAGTTAAAGATGGACAGAGAACAGAAGACTGAAAGGGAAAGTGGGAAGTAGTGAAAGAGTAATATATAGAGAAAGAGAAGGGCAATGATAGAAGAAGAGAGAAGACCTGAAAGAGAGATAGAGACAGAGAGCGGAGAGCAATGATAGAAAAAGAGAGAAATTTTGAAAAACGGATAGAGACGGAGAATGAGAATTAAAAAGAAGAGCACTGAGAAAGAAAGAATGGGAAAGAAATCGAATGAGATGGAGAAAGAAGAAGAAGAGTAAAGATAGAGAAAGAGAGAAGTACTGAAAGAAGGAGAAGGAGATAGAGAAAGAAATAGAAGAGAAATGTGATAGAAAGAGAGAATGTTTGGAAGAAGGGGACAGACAGATAATGAGGAAGAAAGAGAAGAGCACTGATAGAGAAAGAAAGAGAAAAAAGATGATGAAAGATAGCGAAAGAGAGAAGTACTGAAAGTGAGAGAGAGAGAGAGAGAGAAAGCGAAAGAAAAAGAAGAGCAATGGGAGGGAAAGCTTGAAATAGGGAAAGAGATAGAGAAAGAAAAAGAAAGAGAAGAGAAATGAGAGAGAAATGAGTGGAAGAGGGGGAGAGACAGAATATGAGAAAGATAGAGAAGAGCACTGATAGAGAAAGTAAGTGAAAAAAGAGAAGAGGAATGACAGAGAATGAGAGAGTGAGAGAGGAGAAGGAGTGAAAAGGGGGAGAGAGAGAGAGAGAGAGAGCGGAAATGAAACTTGTAGAAATAAAGAATCAAAAGAAATAAAAGGGGCCAGAAAAAAAGAGAGTAAGAGAGAATCAGAAAGAGATAGATAGAGAGATAGATAGATAGATAGATAGATAGTGAACAGACTGAGATAGATAGATAGATAGATAGATATGAACAGACTGAGATAGATAGATAGATAGATAGATAGATAGTTAACAGACTGAGATAGATAGATAGATAGATAGATAGATATATAGATATGAACAGACTGAGATAGATAGATAGATAGATAGATAGATAGAGAGAGAGAGAGAGAGAGAGAGAGTTGTCGAGCGAATGAAAAAACGCATAATAAACAAAGTAATGAAGAAATGAAGAGTGAAGGAGATGAAAAGAAAGACCAACGCTGACTGTGGCACCATGCATCCAGGCAGAGAAAGAAAGGCAAAAAGGGAAAAGGAAAGAAAGGAAGGGAAAAAGTAATGCGAGACGGATCATAGGTGATAAGCGAACAAACACACACGGCTTAAGAGGCAATAAAAAAAAAGGTTTATTTTGGATAAGTGGCAAATGGCGAAAAGGGTGTCATAACAATGACAATGAGATTGAGTGGGTAGGGAAGTGTTATCTAAGGGTATGAAAACAAACTATTGGTACGAGAAGGCATCTTATTATCAAAATACAGCCACCGGCCAAGGGAAAAATTCAAGCGAAAATGTTATTTCGATAAGTGACGACAAGAAACAGGCGACAAAAAAAAAAGACTTTGGTCAGATATGAAAATTAAAGGCCACCTGCGAGCAATCATTGACCGATTTTCCTACTTGGTCTGCGCGAATGGAATTGTGTTATCAAGAAATGTTCGCCAAAGAAAGTCCACTTGAAAACGTTAGATTTTGATAATTGACAAAACACAGGTGTAAGTACGGAGCCTTAGCTAGATATGGAAAATTAAAATCCCACACAAGCAGTCTCGCTAAAACAAACTTTTGCCCTGCGATAATAAAATTTTGTTATCAGACACATGAACCGAGGGAAAATGAATGGAATAAGAAATGTTTTTATTTCTTCCTTGGAGACGTCAGACCGACTGAAAATTTGGAGAAAATTCTTTTCTGAGGCCATGTCATCTGATGAATTGGCGATAAACTGCTTGACAAACGCCACGTGTTGAACAAAGAGTTGTCATATTATCCGTTCATGATAACGGCGATTTGAAAGGAAGAAAAAAAGGAAAGAGAAGGTATAATTATTTTTTTAGTTAAGCAAGGTATTTTTTTCCGAAACAAAGCCGCGGGTTGTTCACGCCCGACTAAGACGTCATTGGTCAAGTGGTGATCACATGACGCACGAAGGAGGAGGAAAGATACCCGACCAAGACCTCATTGGCCGAGAGTGATCACGTGACGCACGAAGAAGGCTGTCGACGCCCCCATCCAGAGTATAAGTATGAGAAGCTGCTACGAAGAAGTGGGGAGGGCAGTTCACGCCCTCAGAAACATGGTGAGAAAGTGGGAGTGAAAAAAGTTACCAAAATGGAAAAGAGGAAAATCCCTAACCAGAAATAAAAGAGGTGGATATGTATTTAGAATTATCGAGGAACTCCCCGACGCCAACAGACCCAACCCGGTTTTTGTCGGCGGCAATAAAAGCCAGGCCCCAACAGGCAGAAATCAGTTCGCGCCCTGACGGCAGAGATGAGTGCCCAGTAGTTCGCGCCCCGACGGCAGGGATGAGTGTCTAGTAGTTCGAGCTCTGACGGCCGAGATGAGTGTCCAGTAGTTCAGGCCCTGACGGCAGAGATGAGTATCCAAAGTTCGAGCCTTGACGGCAGAGATGAGTGTCCAGTAGTTCGTGCCCCGACGGCAGGGATGAGTGTCCAGTAGTTCGAGCCCTGAAGGCCGAGAGGAGTGTTCAGTAGTTCAGGCCCTGACGGCAGAGATGAGTATCCAAAGTTCGAGCCTTGACGGCAGAGATGAGTGTCCAGTAGTTCGCGCCCTGACGGCAGAGATGAGTGCCCAGTAGTTCGCGCCCTGACGGCAGAGATGAGTGCCCAGTAGTTCGAGCCCTGACAGCAGAGATGAGTGTCCAGTAGTTCATGCCCTGGCAGCAGAGATGAGTGTCCAGAAAGTTCGTTCGGCCCTGGCGGCAGAGATGAGTATCCAAAGTTCGAGCTCCAGTTTCCAGAGTTGAAGCCGCCTCAAGATAGCTGACCAAGATTCACGCAAAAATTTCGGACTCCTCTTCAACCAAGAACAATTATTTTGAAGAGCGACTTAGGACCAGACCACAGAAATAAGTTTTTTTCGACTTTCGTCCAAAGACACACCGAAACACAAATTTCTTAGAGAGCAAACAACTTGAAGCGTTAAAACTTGCCTAGCGGAAATGACGTGTCACAATCCACAGAACGGGTCAGGAGATAAATGCAGTCCTATGTATCGAACAACTAGACATAAAGCTTGTTACCTTTTTCTTTGATACTTTGAACTTTTTGAGTTTTCATTTTATATTCTTTTATGCATATTTGTGTGCTATCAGCCCGTTGAACTCAATTTGCATTACGGCCCCAACCCTTGTTTGATCTCGTCTGTCTAAGATCAATTCACAACGTGGGTAGGCAGACTGGAGATCAGTGCAGTTACCTTGGTAACCAGGCGTTGGAAGCAGGTTGGGAACGGCGAGGCTGATATCAAATCTAACCAGATTCCCACCCGAATCACCAAAAGGTTAGAACGTCACATTTGGGTGCCGCGACCGATACCGAGCTAGTTGGTCGTCACAGTACGAGACAACACGACTGACGCGACAGGCGAACGTCACGTTTGGAGCAGCGACACCCGGACGGAGCAGCGAGGAGCGAACAGCTGGCGCCGCGGCGAAGACGTCACAATTGGTGCTGTTTAGGGACGTCACAACTGGTGCTGTTTAGGGACGTCACAACTGGTGTCGTGACCGGGATAGGACCCTGGAACGGCCACGTCACAACTGGCGCCGTGGTAGATCAGAATAGAACGTCACAGTTGGCGCTGCATGAAAAGTGCTGAAGAAAGAAATAATTAGAAAAGAAATGAGAAAAGAAAGTCAAAAGACAGACAGAAGGAAAGAAAAAATTCGAAAAAGAAAGAATATAGGAATGAATTAACGAATGAATTAAGGAATGAACAATTCATAAAAATGGAGAATGAGAGCGGATGCTACGAAATGAAAACATATGCTGAAGAAAAAAAATGAAGAAAGCAAAATAAGAAGAAAAAGAGAAAGAAATAAATCAAGAAAGAAATAAGGAAAGAGCGAAGAGAAGTTTATGCGAGAAGAGATACATAGTGAGAAGGCCAGAGTGGGTGAATGAATAAAACATTCGAAGAATGAAAGAAATGAATGAGGGAGCAAATGAATGAAGTTAGATGGAAAGAGAGAAAAAAGAAAGACGGAGAGAAGAGAATGAGATAAGAAAAAGAGATAAGAAAGAAAGAGAAATAAAGAGTGAGAGAGGAGACATAGATAGATAAATAGATAGATAGATAGATAGATGGAGAATGACAGAGAGACAGACAGAAACAACGGGAGCGATCGATCGAAAGACGGATATATATATATATATAGAGAGAGATAGATAATGAACATACTCAGATAGATAGATAGATAGATAGATAGATAGATAATGAACATACTCAGATAGATAGATAGATAGATAATGAACAGACACAGATAGATACATAGATAGATAGATAGATAGATAATGAACAGACTCAGATAGATACATAGATAGATAGATAGATAGATAGATAGATAGATAGATAATGAACAGACTCAGATAGATAGATAAATAGATAGATAGATAGATAGATAGATAGATAGATAGATAGATAGATGGAGAATGATAGAGAGACAGACAGAAACAACGGGAGCGATCGATCGAAAGACGGATATATATATATATATAAATATATATATATATATATATATATATGAAAACGGGAACAAGTTAACGAACGAGAGATGGGGAAAATGAAAAGAAAATAGAGAGAAATAGAGAAAGGAATAAATTAGCAGGAAGGGATAGATAGATAGATAGATAGATAGATAGATAGATAGATAGATATGAAAAAAACTGAGATAGACATGAAAAGACATATATATGCATATATATATATATATATATATATATATATATATATATATATATAGATAGATAGATAGATATGAAAAGACCGAGATAGATAGATAGATAGATAGGATATGAAAAAACTGAGATAGACATAAAAAGACATATATATGCATATATATATATATATATATAGATAGATAGATAGATATGAAAAAGACCGAGATAGATAGATGGATAGATAGATAGATGAATGACATGAAAAAACTTAGATAGATAGATAACAGACTGAAATATATATATATATATATATATATATATATATATATATATATATATATATTGATAGATAGATATGAAAACAACTGAGATAGACGATAAAATACTTTATATATATATATATATATATATATATATATATATATATATATATATAGATAGAGAGAGAGAGAGAGAGAGAGAGAGAAAGTGAGGGGATAGAGAGAGGAAAAAGAATTAGGTGAGAGAGAGAAAAAATAATAGATAGTTACTATGAGAAGGAAATGAATAATTAGAAATATATAGTGATGAGGTCAATGAATGAGGGATCAATTATTAAACAAATCAGATAAATAAATGATAAAGAGATAGAAAAGCAGAAAAACAAATAGAGAGAGAATGAGAGGGGGAGAGGGTACTGTGTGATCGGAGTAGTGAGAGGGTGTGTGATACTGAAGGTGAGCGAGAAAAAGAGGATATGCGATAGAAAGAGAGAGGGTGTGTGTGAGTGTGAGAGAGGGTGTGTGTGAGTGTGAGAGAGGGTGTGTGCGTGTGAGAGAGGGTGTGTGCGTGTGAGAGAGAGGGTGTGTGTGTGTGTGAGAGAGAGAGAGAGAGAGAGAGAGAGAGAGAGAGAGCGGGTCCCAGATCTTTGTTTTTAGCATGGTTGAGCTCGCGAAGCGACAGCAGATGCTCGAATCATTTTCGGTGGAAAAAGAAACAGTCCTCGGCGCCGCTCTCCAATAAAACCTTAACCCCACCCCTATAACACCACCACCCACACACGATCGCCCGTAACGTGGTTGACCGGTCACGTGCGGCACGGGTCGGGTCATATGCTTGGACGAGTTAGCGACAACAGTTGTCGACGATAAAAATGGAGTTTGTCCTACTTTCGAAAATGCCCAGTGAAGAATGGTATGGAATGGAATAAAAGGAATGGTTGTGTTTCTTTTTTTTTTTTTTAATTATTGTTTCTTTTTTATTTTGTTTCTTTTTTAGCGGGAGGAAGGGATTGCAAGAGGAGGATGCAATAATGGGAGCTACTATTAATAATTCCGAT